CGTGGAAAGCCCTGGATATGAACAGGGCCTCTTCTTCCAGCCTCCAGTAATGAATAACTCTTCTACCAAGCTGAGCCTTCTGAAGGTCACGCCCCAGCCTCAGCTCAGAGGTGGAGGCAGAAGACAAGCGTGCTGAAGCATCAGTATGAGAAGCATTCGGCTCATGTTTAAGTTCCCCTTTTCTTTTTCAAAAAAAAAAAAATGTCTTGGGACCATACTTGTCAAGACTAACTACTGTTAGGTACTCTGAGAATGTTATTCTCCAACAAGAAAATCAGGAAGGATAAAAATAGGTAGGACGAGGGCAGGCATTTGGCACAGTGGTTAAGGCATCGCTTGAGATGCCTGCATCCCATATCAAAGCACCTGAGTTCAAGTTCCAGCTCTACTCCTGATTCCAGCTTCCTGCAAAGGCGCACCCTGGGAGGCAGCCGGTGATGACTTAAATAGTTGGGTCCGTGTCACCCACATGGGAGACCTGGATTGAGTTCCCTTTTTCCATCCTTGTTCTGCCACAACTCACATGTGGGGTGTGAGTCAGTGGATAGGAGATTTCTCTCTCTCTGCCTAAAAAATAAATTAAAATTTTGAATTTATTTTTTTGTTTGTTTCTTTAAAAGAGAGTGAGAGCAATTGAGACCTGTCTTCTGTAGATGACACAGACTGTAATTGGATACCCCAGAATACTTCAGTTGTCCAAATCTTATCAGAGTGACTGTCTTATTACCTGGTGCACCTGTAAGGTGATGAAGAGGAAGTGAAAATCTTATCTAGGACAACAAAGCCAGGCCAAGACAAAAGGCCAAGCAACAAAAGCAGTTAGAAAAGTCCAAGAATCACTTACTCTTGGGTTGCTGTTGATTATGCCCTGTCTGAATTAAAAAAAAAAAAAAATTGTAGCAGAAGGCAGGTCTAGGCAGGGGGAATGACCAAATCTACATCCCTTAAAAAGACACTCGGTAGTGCTCCTCTTGAACCATCAGGAAAAGAGACCGTCGCTCTGCCAAACATGGTGCATCCAGGTCTGGGGAATAAGTGACCCCGTTCCAACAAGGGCAGGATCACTTCTGGGGACTTTTTTTCTAGGCAGGAAGAAATGACTAGCAGTTTCCCTCTGCTCCAAGTCCACACTCAACAAATAACCCCCTGATTTCTAATTTTACCTTCTGCTTAGGCAGGAGTGGAAAGGTAAGGTCTTTGTCCAAGTCTCTTTTACTATCAGAAAATATACTGGATTTTGGTTTTATATCTCAAGATTTTATAGATTGACTGTTGAGGTTAACGATTATGCCTTTTTTAAAAAAAATATTTATTTATTTGAGAGGTAGAGTCACAGACAGGGATAACTCTTCCCAACCGCTGGTTCACTCCCCAAATGGCTGCAACTGCCAGAGCCAGGACGATTCAAAGCCAGGAACCAGGAACTTCTGCTGGGTGCAAGGTCTCGAGTACTTGGGCCATCTTCTACTGCTCTTCCAGGCCATAGCAGAGAGCTGGATTGGGAAAGGAGCAGCCAGGACATGAACCGGTGCCATATAGGATGCCAGCACCACAGGCGGAAGCTTAGCCCACTACACCTCAGCAATGGCCCCCATAATTGGTCAGTTTGGGAGCATCTTCAAAATCAAGTTTCCTGGACACATCTAGACACATCTAGCCTGGACACCCAAAATTCTGTAATTCAAGCAGAATAAGACAAATGGTGGTCAGCTGACTTTTCTCTGATTCCTATATGTTCTACTGATGAAAAATCAGTACTAGAAAGAAGATTGTTATGGTGGTTGAAATAATTTTTGCTCTTACTCCATAAGTAAAAAGAATGAGCAAATGCTATAGGTTAGCAAGGTCATAATGTAACAGCATTCAACTGTAGGCTTTTGAGAACATTTTTATGAGAGATTAGAAAAACTTTCAAGTCATAGCCATGTTTAATATCAAGTAACATAGCTAAAGACTACCATAAATCACACAGATCTATTTTGTGTCAGACATTGTATGGAAATGTTGGGAAATCCAACCTGAACAAGACATATAAGTAAATAGCTAAAATAACTGTGATGGGTTATGAGATGATGTACAAGGCACAGCTATGTACAAGGATGGAGAAATTCTAGCTCAGGGAGCTAAGAAATCTCACTGGAGGAGGTGGCCTTTGGAAAAGGTTTTGAAGGAATACGATGTATTTCCCTGTTGGCCTGGGAAAAGCAATGCAAGATGATCCAAGTGTTTGGGCCCCTGCCACCTATGTGGAAGACCTAGAAGAAGCTCTTGGCTTCAGCTTGGCCCAGCCCTGGCCGTTGCCTCCATCTTGGGGGTGAACCAGCTGATGGAAGATCTCTCTTTTTTTCTCTAGCTCTGCCTTTCACAACAGATAAATAATCTTATTTTAAAAAGAAAAAGAAGAAAGAAAGAAAAGTCTTTAGAGTTTTCAGGACAGAAAGGCAAAAGGAAGTCCCATTAAGAGCCTGGGACCTCCATTGAGGCAGTTGTGATGAGAGTGAGAAGGAAAAGACAGGTTTGGGAACGGCTTGGCATCCAGACTCAGAGGGCTTGGTGACAGATTGTGTTTGGGGCGAGAGAGGGAGGAACTAGTATAACTCCCAAATTACTGGCTTTGGAACATAGGGATCTTTTATTAAATCTTCCTCTAAACCATTATACATTATTCAGGGAGAGATTAAAGATGTGCCTGTGTTGGGAAACATCGTTTGCTTCCGACTAAGGGAATCCCTAGATTAGAAATCAACCCCCACCCACCCCCAGTTTTGCTTTTCTCATCTATTTTGTGCTTTTCACCGGAAGCTGGGAGAGCTGGCTCCAGGAAGAAAAAATACATAACTGAAACAGACCTATTGTCCTGGAGAAAGAAATGGAAAGCCGAAAGATACAATGAGACACATTTGGAATGCTTAGAGCGAGGTGTCCAGTGCTTTATCACAGACTCTAGCTGCACTCAGCGTGTGCAGCTTTGCTGGTTTTCATTAAGCAAAGAAGCTGGTTTTCCATAGCAATAAACATGGAAACTTCTTTAGTTACAAGTGTAATCAGGGCTTCAACATTTAGAGGTGTATTAGTGAAATTACATTTTGGCCTTTCCTACTGAGTGAAAATAATGAAGCAAATGTGTCTTTTTGTAAATAGGTACTCCATCCTCAGAGTCAGGATGCTTGATGGTCAAGAAGTGTTTATGAATATGATTTTTCAAATTCTGCTCCAGAGTTTCTTGTTGCTTTCGAATCTCGGCTCTGTGTGGCCTTCCGTGGTGCATTCTAGCTTAGTGGGTAGGAATCTTCGCTCTGGAGTTTGATTACTTGAATTCAAACACTTGGCTCCATCGCTTCTGTCTTTTTGGGCATGCTGTCAATTGCCCTGTTATCTTGTCACTGACACAGGAAATTAATAATATCGGCATGATCTTTGAGTGGAGTCCAATTCCGAAACAGAAATATTAGATAGGATTTGACTTCAAAAACATATGATCTAATTCAGTGGTTCTCAAATTTTACCATGCAATCAGGATCACCTGGAGGGCTTGTTTAAGCCGCAGATTCCTGAGATGAGCCTTCCAGAATCTCTAATGCAGTAGACCTGGGATGAAGCTGAGATTTAAATTTCTGACTAATTTCAGGTGACAGTCTGAGGCCCATGCTTTGAGAGTCACTGATCTCATTAGAAAGGGAATTTTCAGTAAAGAGAGACAGACAGACCTAAGAACACTTAGAAAACAGTTGTGCCTGTTTTATTACTGATTTTGTTTAGGAAGCCAAACCATACATTGCAAGAAATCCAGTGGCTGATGATCACTCACTTAAGTGAGAGCCGTTTTATTTCCAGGATAACCTTGAGTTTCCTCCATTCTGGGATGCATCCTCATAGATACAATGTGCATTAGTTTCATGCAGAGAAACTAATTATTCCTACTCGCCTTTTCCAGTATTGTAGGGTTTTAGACTTGAACCTGAATCAAACCAAACCATAAACCATTTAATTGGGATATCCCAGGCTAATTTGTTGAACTCCAAAACTAAATCAAATGCCAATTATCCTTTTCCTGAAGTGTGAACTAAGTGAAAGAGATTTGTTTAAAAAAAAAAAAAAAGTGAACGAGTTCAAATTAGAAACAAATCTGTTAATTTGCTGAAACCATTGAAATGCAAGGTCATATTTCCCAACAAACCAAGTCATTTTTAAAACAACACAAAACTGTATGTGAGATACTCTTATACTGTGCTAAACTGAATGAAATGTTAGAAGAGTAAATCGCTTGAAGAGTCAGCTCCCCCTAAGAGTGTTTCCTCTAAGAGTCAGCTCTCAGGGTTCAAATCAAGATTTGTTAATGAGGGAACTACTTAACAGAGATGTGGTTAGGGGAGAGGAATGTTTAGGTACCAACAAACTAGCAACAGCAGGAAGTCATTACCAGGCAGGGCAGGAAGAGGCAGAAGCAGAACCTAGTGTTTTCCAAGCCCAGTGGGAGGAGGAGCTGCGGAAAAGAAGCTGTCAGGTGAGAGGTTTAGCCAGGGGACCCCCCCCCCCCACTCTCCCCTCCCCAAAGACAAATTAGAACAGGGTTGCTAAATGCAGGAAGGGATGGGGGTGACACAACCTCAGCTTCTCCTCCTCCTTTTCCCTTCTGTCTTGCTGGGGCCTTCCTCTGTCTGAACCCCACTGGGAGGAAGGGGTCCAGAGTGGCCCGGGGAACTGATCTGCAGGTGGCAGATTCCTGGCAGGCAAGAGGGAGCAGTGGAAGGCAGAGGGTGGCCAGAGCAACCTCCTCTTTCTGAGCGAATACCAGACATTAGACAAAGTGTTAGTAACCGAGTTAAAGAACGCACAGGTCTTAGGAGGTGCCCCGGCACATGGGAAGCCTCATACTCTAAATGTTAGCTGTTAGAATTGCTGCCGTGATTAGCCCTGTCTGCATATGAGGAAATTCAAGCCTGTGGACTAGAAGCGACTTCTGCCTGGATAACTGCAACACAGCCCACTCTCAAATGCAGGTTTTTAGACGCCACTGCTCTGTGAATTCTGTGAGAGCTTCCGATAGCGCCGTGTAAGGTGTATAAGGTAAGGCATTGCGTGCGTGCTTCCTTTTTATAACTTATTGCAAAACAAAGCACCTTAACTCTCTGGACCTGACTAAAGAAATCTGTCATCTGTCACCAAATTGACACTTTTTGAGACTACACAGAGATAAAATTAACGAAACCATGATCTGAAGGATGATTCTACATAGCTGATACCATTGTTAATGTTAATGATAATAGTGGTGTTAGTAGGAATCCCAATGGTTGTTAACGTTTTTTGAGTATTTGTTAGATGTCTAGCACTGTGTATTTTTCAGGCATTGTAGTAATACAGTCAGTAATCCATGGCACCCACTTTTAATTTCCTGTTCATTCTTGCAATGTTTTTTGAACTTGGAAATAATCCAGTTGGATGATTTTGCTGGCCCTTGTCTGACTATTTGAGGTTTTATAAAAATCATTTAAAATGTGATGTGTGAGAATATATTAACTCCTAAAAAACTCCCAGATGACAATCTTTTTCCCATAAAATGTTGGAGGAGTTTTTCATACTGTTATACCACCATGATAAAAAAAAAATTAGCTCTCAGGCAAGAGGCTTGAATTGACCATGCATTCAGAATTTGATTGCATAAAATCAGACATTTTGAACATCAACATAATTTGTTTCTTATTTGTGTCAGTTCAGCTCCTTTTTGGCAACAGATTTTAAACAAGGGGGTAGCCATTTCCCCTTAAGTCTTGGTATTTTAGGACCTCAGAGTTTCAGTTCAAAGAAGGTGTAATCAGTAAGCTGAGAAATCACATGTGCGTTTCTAGTCTGCTAAGGAAATGAACAAGAAATGTTTTCCCATGGGGTTGATTTCCACTGTGCCACACTATCTGTCAACTTTTCCCTGATGATGGGAGCAAGTATCAGACAAGGGCACTGTAACCAATGGCTCATCACAGAGCTGAAGTTCGTTCTTGGCAGTCCAGTTACAGAGTTGTCGTTAGGAAAGTGTGAATCAAGAGCATCGGAGATGCTTCTACTCGGCACAGCGGCTCCGTGAGAGCAAGCAAGAACTTGCGGGTACACCCTTGGCTGTCCGGCCACAGCAGAGGGCTGACTGGGAAGAGATGACCTAATTGCAGTAGAGGCTGAACTGTGTGAAATTGACAATATCTGACCAATAACTGATTGGCTTGACCTACAAAAACGGTAGTTCATCCTGATAATTCTGATCGTGATTTCAGTGGTTTAGGGAACTACGGTATTTCATTTATAGACTCTCCTAAAATCAACTCCATTGGTAAAATATTGCTATTTCACATCCTACAAATGAAGAACACTTGAGAGGATTCCAGGTAAATTTGAGTATCCAGAGAACTGCAGAAATTGAGATTTTAAGATATTAATAGTTTATATGTGGAAAGTGCCTAACCAAATTCCTGACACATAGCAGGTGCTCAGAAGAATTGAGTAATAAAATGTTACCACAATAGCCACTCATGTGGGCATCTATGATCATAATATTAGCATGTTGTAATATAGGCCTTACTTGGTTACACATTATGTGACATGCCTTAATTCAGTTAGAGGGAAACCAGTTTCCAACACAGTCAACTGACATGAAATTATATTGAAGCATCAGAAAGGTAATATTATATTATCAGACAAAATCTTTTTTTAAAATTTTTTATTAATTTTTTTTTAATTTGACAGAGTTAGAGAGAGAGAGAAAGGTCTTCCTTTCCCATTGGTTCACCCCCCAAATGGCCGCCATGGCCAGCGTACGGCACCGATCCAAAGCCAGGAGCCAGGTGCCTCCTCCTGGTCTCCCATGCGGATGCAGGGCCCAAGGACTTGGGCCATCCTCCACTGCCTTCCCAGGCCACAGCAGAGAGCTGGACTGGAAGAGGGGCAACTGGGACAGAACCGGCGCCCCAACCAGGACTAGAACCCGGGGTGCCGGTGCCGCAGGTGGAGGAATAGCCAAGTGAGCCACGGCACCGGCCCCAGACAAAAATCTTAACAACAGAGAAGTCAAAGAACAAAGAACAGCAAATGATTTTTGTAATGCATTTTGTATAAGCTGTGTACTAGAGAATGTTATAGCTATGATTATTTCTTCAGGTGAGATCAGGAAATGATTTCTTACAGACAGATGTCTGTTTTGTGAACTTGAGGAACTGACTTAGGCAATTAATACGAAAACATTGGAATTTATAAGCATGGAGAATTTGGAAGGAGATACTCATTTTATAATTAGGGTGTTATACCCAAATTCTCACCTATTATTTCTGGGTAAATTCTTACAACTTAGCAAGTTCATTGAGTCTCCTGCAAGTAATTTCTGCTTTGTCGTTACTCTCACTGCTCTACAGAGAGAAGTTGGTGATTCAGCTGACTGCGGAGTAGACGAGGCACAGCCTTGGCCGTGACACAGCTGTCCACACACTCCGCAGGTGGCCTGTGGCTCTGGTGGATTTTATAGGCAGAATCCCACACAGCTTTGTAAATTTCTTTTTCTTTTTTTTTTCTGTGACTCCTTTGCGTGAACCACATCCACAGAGCAAATGTGAAATCCTAGAAATGTGACCTCCTGGGCCCAGGCAGTGTGGGGATTTCCTCAGCAGTTTGGAGCTAAGTTGGAGATGGATTTTTTTTTTCTAAACAGGTGTAGATTTGATTCAGCAGGTGTGTAGCTGCCCTGCATTTCTGATGCAGTTCTAGGTGATGCAGTGCTGCTGCTCTGGGGACCACTAACATCTCACAGGCAGTGAAGCCCATCCCAAACTTGCCGTCTTTCACCCCAAGCCAGCTGGTCTTCCTCTTGGGTTCTCATTACCTTTGGCTACTATTAATCTCTATCTGACCTTGAAGTAATGCGAGGCTTGTTCATTAAAACAAATGTCTTTAATCAAATGGATTTTTATTTTGTCTTTTTGATTTTTATGTGTTAGAGAGAAAGGAAGATCTTCCATCTGCTGGTTCGCTCACTAAATGCCCACAGTAGCCAGTGTTGGGCCAAGTGGAAGGCAGGAGGTAGGAACTCAGTCTGGGTCTGGGTGGCAGGGACTCAACACTTAACCCATCACCTGCTGCCTCCTATGATACTCATTAGCTAGTGGTGAAGCTGGAATCAGAAGCAGAGCCGGGCCCAAGCCCAGGCACTCCAATATAGGATGCAGGTGTCCCAAGCAGCATCTTTTTTTTTTTTGACAGGCAGAGTGGACAGTGAGAGAGAGAGAGACAGAGAGAAAGGTCTTCCTTTACCGTTGGTTCACCCCCCCCAACGGCTGCTCCGGCGGCACGCTGCGGCCGGCACACCGCGCTGATCCAAAGCCAGGAGCCAGGTGCTTCTCCTGGTCTCCCATGTGGGTGCAGGGCCCAAGGACTTGGGCCATCTTCCACTGCCTTCCTGGGCCACAACAGAGAGCTGGACAGGAAGAGGAGCGACCAGGACAGAATCCGGCGCCCCAACCAGGACTAGAACCCAGTGTGCCAGCACCGCAGGCGGAGGATTAGCCTAGTGAGCCACGGCACTGGCCCCAAGCAGCATCTTAATCACCACACCAACGCCCACTCTTCTGAGGCTCCTTCTAATCCTTCCCACTGCCATACACACATCTGTTAAGAAGTGCTCTGATTCTTCCCTATTGCACTCACGCCTGATCCTTAACTTTTCAGCCCCCTGTGACTTCCAGGACCTGGGCCTCTGTGGCCTGTCATTCCCAGCTTGTCATTCCCAGCTTCTCCCGGAGCCCTTCTAGCTGCACCAGACCAATTCCAACTCCCCACACGAGGGCCACTCTCACGCGGCGCTTGTGTAAGTGAGCAGTCTGCTGGAAAACCACCTGCAAGAATCTATCCTTCTAGACCTGGAACTCCAGGCCCCCACGCTCCTGTCCCTGTTTTGTCCATTCCTATCTTCTAATGCCCACTTAGGAGAACACTTGAGAAAGTTCTTGAAGAAATGGAATTGAAAGGTGAGTTTTTTCTGATCCCAAATCGTTTTGAAACCCATGCATGGTTTTTTCTCATGCCCATTTTCCATGAATGTGTTGGAGATCCCCTAGTATTTGACACTTACGGATTATTTGTAGTGATCCGAGTAGCTTTGATGCTTTCAAGTCTCCTGAAAAGTCCCAGGTTCCTATATTAAGTGTTGTGTAAGTGCTGCAAAATGCCATATGACTGCAGAGGAGCTTGGGGTGAGCAGCTCCATGACGCAAGTGGCATTTCTCTGGACCTGGGTGCCGTAAGGATGTCTATAGAGATTATTAACTGTTCCTACATTCCTGTGTCATTGAACTGTACCACCAGTTAGTAAAAGAAAGAAAATAAATTCCGTACTTTAATAACTAGGTTAACAGCCACACAACAAAAGGCATCCTTTGGGGCTGTCCTCCTGTGACACTATCCCCAGTTGAGCAGGTATCTCAGCGCCATTTGTTGTTCTTGCGTCTTTTCTACATTATGCTTCTCCCTAACAGGGGGTGTGTCTAGTTCGTTTTTTGTGTCCCCAGCATTTAATGTCATGTGTGGTACAAGGAAGGCATTTAATCAAGATAATCCAGGGTTTGGACCCTGAAACTGAATATAATGTGGGTGGGGAGAGGGAAGGGCTCTTTAATAAATAGAATTCAAGTATCTCATCTCTCTCTCTCCCTCCCCACCCCCAGCCTGTTTTCAAAAACATGTGGCCTTAAGAATATATTGCCTGGAGGCTGGCTCATGTCCGGGCTTCTCCACTCAGAATCCAGCTCCCTGCTAATGCACCTGGGAAGGCAGCAGAGAATAGCCCAAGTGCTTGGGTCCCTGCACCCAAGTGGGAGACCCAGAGGAAGCTGCTGGCTTCAGTCTGGCCCAGCTCTGGCCATTGCAACCATTTAGGGAGTGAACCAGAAGATGGAAGATCTTCCTCTTTCTCTTTCTCTCTCTCTCTCTCTCTCTCTCTCTCTTTCTCTCTCTTTCTTTCACTCTGCCTTTCAAATAAACAAATCTTTAAAAAAAAAAAAAAAGGCATTGCCTGGGGACCCTTGTAGGACCTTAAA